TGTAGGATGGTCAAGGCCGATCATCAGAGGCCGCATGGAAAGCTGCAGCCCCTAGAGATTCCCATGTGGAAATGGGAACAGATCATGATGGATTTTATTACCAAGTTGCCAAGGACGGCAAAGGGGTTTGATGCTATATGGGTCATCGTGGATCGATTGACCAAGAGTGCCCACTTCTTGGCTATACGGGAGAGCTCATCGGCCGATAAATTGGCCGAATTGTACGTTCGCGAGATCGTGTCTCGCCATGGGGTTCCTGTTTCCATTGTCTCTGATCGGGATGTCAGGTTTACCTCCCGCTTCTGGCAAAAGTTTCACGAGGAGCTGGGCACGCGGTTGCACTTCAGCACAACATTCCACCCGCAGACAGACGGCCAGAGCGAACGGACTATTCAGACCCTCGAGGACATGTTGAGGGCGTGTGTCATTGATTTCGGTGGGAGTTGGGATTCTCACCTACCGCTTGCGGAGTTCGCCTACAACAACAACTATCATTTTAGCCTTGGCGCCCCGCCATTCGAGCTGTTGTATGGGCGGAGATGTCGCACCCCGGTCTGTTGGGGTGAAGTTGGACACAGAGTGATGGGTAGTACGGAGGTAGTCTTGCAGACTACCGAAAAGATCCAGCAGGTTAGACAACGTTTGCAGACCGCTCAGAGTCGGCAAAAGAGTTATGCCGACAGACGCCGATCTGAGTTGGAATTTCAGGTGGGTGACATGGTACTCCTGAGGGTCTCGCCCTGGAAAGGTGTGATTCGCTTCAGGAAGAGGGGAAAATTGGGTCCCTGATATATTGGGCCGTTCAGGATCATTGCCAGGGTTGGCAAGGTGGCTTACAGGCTAGAGCTGCCGGAGGAGCTTAGTCGGATACACAGCACTTTCCACGTTTCGCAGCTGCGAAAGTGCATCATGGACCAGGTGGCAGTAGTATCGTTGGATGATATTCAGGTCGATGAGCGCCTGAACTATGTGGAGAGACCTGTGGCCATTTTGGAGAAGAAGAGGAATATTATGAGGAATAAGGAGATATCTTTGGTGAAAGTACAGTGGGAGCATCGAAGGGGGTCCGAGTGGACGTGGGAGACAGAGGCCGAAATGAGGGAGCATTACCCGGAGTTATTCGCTGCAGCAGACTTCGAGGACGAAGTCTAGTTCAAGTGGGGGAGAATTGTAACGCCTCGATTCCAGGTATGGATTTAAATAAAAGGTTAATTGGTTTAATGTCCTACTCGACGAGTTGGTTGCCCTACTCGTCGAGTAGCAGTGGGGTTGGAACGCGTGTTTAGTGACCTACTCGACGAGTCCACTAAGGGACTCGACGAGTAGGAGCTGGCAGATGAAACCCTAAATCTCGGGGTTTTGCACCCTATTTAAGGAATGATAAGCCTCCTATGGCCTCTTTGCAGTCTTTGAGAGCCCCTTAAAACCCTAATACGTGTGTGTGTGCTCATTGTGTGTTTGAAGCTTGAAGAGAGGATCCTTGGAGGGAGAAGGCTTAGAGGAGAAGGAGATTGGAGCAAGTAGAGTGTGGGAATCAACTCTTATCTCAGTTATCATCTTCTGGAGGTAACTAAATTGCCTTTTCTTTGTGAATCTCTTCTATTGGTTGAGTTTTAGGGTTTTTGGTGAGATATTAAGTTGGAAAGATGAGCTATGGGCTAGATCTGAGGTTGTAACTTCAGATCTGGACCCTCCTTGGATTCTATAAGCATAAAGTTTCAGCTTTGGTCATGATTAAGGTCCCTCTTGAGCATGAAGTTCCATTAAGAACTTAAAATAGGCATTTAGAGCCCTTATAGCCATGCATGCACGTAAAGTTTGCAACTTTACGTGATAAGAATGCCCTAGAAGCTTGGATCTGTGATTTGGAGCCGCTGCATGGCTCAAAACAAGTCTGTATGGAAAAAGGACTGAATGGACTCGGCGAGTCGCAAGGTTGACTCGGCGAGTCCGACGAAGATCACCATAAGACTCGGCGAGTTGAAGAACAATTCGGCGAGTCGGATGAGTTTTCCCCAAGTTATGAATGTGTGTGTGTGTGTTCGTCGTGTGCAAAAAGGAAAACTCGACGGGTGGCCTTAGAGTTTGGTCGAGAATCGGAGAAACTCGACGAGTCACCTCGATGACTCGGCGAGTGGGATAGTGTTTCAAGGAACTCGACGAGTAGCCGAGGGTACTCGGCGAGTAAGGTCAACATGGACTGTTGACCTTGACTGAGGACTTTGAATTTGAGCAGGGGTTGACTAGTGAGTTATGGAGTACCTTATAAGGTTAAGGACTTATGAGTATATTGTGATATGGTATTAGGTGGTGGAGCCTGTGCCAAGTAATTCGAGAGTTGGGTTTTATCTTCCGGGTCGACATTTGCGAGGTGAGTTATCCTCACTATACTAAGGGGTCTAAGGCACCAAGGCCGGCCCATTGGATATGATATCCTAGTAGTTGTATTATGTTGAGTATAAGTTGGTTATGCATGCTAGTTTGATATGCTAGAGGGTAGGTCTGTAGGACTACCTGTGATGCTGATTTATTACCTGTATGTGCATTATCTGTTACATGTTTATATGTTATGTGGGATGGGTTGAGGTTGTACTGCTCCGTGCGGTAGCCAACAAACCCTAGGGTATTCCAGATATGAGCTGAGGGCCCGGTAGGCATTCCAGACTTATACTAAGGACTCGGGAGCATTCCAGATACGAGCTGAGGGCCCAGTAGGCATTCCAGACTCGTACTGAGGGCTCGATGGTATTCCAGATACGAGCTGAGGGCCTGGTAGGCATTCCAGACTCGTACTGAGGACCTAGGGGTAATCCAGCTTGTAAAGCTGTGGACCCATTGCATGTTGTTCTGTTCAGTTTGTTATGATATGTCATGGTGTGACATGGTTATGTGGACTGTATGTGTATCGGTATTTTGGGGGTAACTCACTAAGCTCTCGGGCTTACAGTTTCAGTTTATTGTTTCAAGTACATCAGGGGATCGCGGCAAGGCGAAGGCATGATCGTACAGCTCCTCCTATTATGTTTATGTTTCTGGGAATACTCTGATAAAAATGTATTTTGAAAACAACGTTGTAATGTTTTGATGAACTTGACATGTTTTGAAAGTTTAAATTGGTTTGAAATTTTTGGGTGTTACAAAAGCGTTCGAGAAACCCCGATGGAACTTCCCAACAATCGGACGGCCGAACACACATCGACATCAACGGCGATCCGCTAGATCTTGAAAACGACCAACCTCTTCGTCGACCCGTTGGAAGAAATAAAGCAAAAAAAGCGGCTTCAACATCTTCGAACTCTAGTGTTATGGATATGTTTGGCGATAAATTTGATCGATATGTGCAACTTCAAGAAACGAAGGTCGAGGTGATGACTCGGATGGAGCAAAAAATGATTGAAACACAAACATTATTTCAAGAGGCACAAGCGGCGATCCAAACAAAAACCGATATGGAAATCTTGAAAATGAAAGCGGACGACCTCGAGGGCGAAAACTTGGAACTTTTCCTCGCGATGAAAGAGTCGGTTCACGCCCGACGTAGGCGTATGAGGTAGTTTATTTTATTTATGGTTGGAATATTTAGGTTTTTTTTAGTGTTTTTTTTTATTTTAAGTAATGTAATTTTTATTTTTATTGTTATTTTTTTATTTCAATTAATGTAGTTTTTATTTAATGTAATTTGGTCTTTTAATTTAATGGAAAACTAGTATTAAAAAATGATTTTAATATATTTTTGAATTAAATTTAAATAAAAAAATAAGATGGAGTTGTGTGTTTAGTGGTATGTATCCTCTTGGTTAGTGGCAGGGAAGGTGGTGTTGATCTGACACCCACCACAAATATGGTATGTGGTGGATATAACGGATGGTCTTACAAACGTAGGCCCTAACCAAGTCCCAACCATGATACCATGTGTAACCTTAAAAAAATAAGACATGCCCCAAGCATTGTAGTCATAATGTTTGTTATGTTGAAATACGAAAATCTTCACTACTTTTAAAAAGAAAATTTTCTTTTTAAATCCGTTTCAAGTTGGAATGATAAGAAATTTATAATTAATATTTACATTTTAAGACTCAAACCGGCTCAATATAGGTACTGTTCATAAGTTCAAACGAGATTTAATATATAGTATAATATAATGAGCGATTAATTCACTAAATCTCAAATATGACTTGAGCTCTTGAATCTAATCAGACCTAAGACATTGTTTAATATTATGATGTGTTTTGTTAATTGAAGGCAAGAAGGAGGCTCAGCCTAATTATCGGGTACAATTACGAAACACATGGTTAAAAAATAAACTAATGGGGGAAACATAGGATCTCTCTTTGTCCCCTTTTTTTCGAATAAAATTAAAAGAAGTATTCTTTTGATTCAAGTATATTACTGCAATCAAACATAACTCTTATGAGTTTTATGACCAAACAATGATACGCGGTTTTATTTTTATTTTTTTCCTTGATATTTACTCATCCATTACCACAATTATAATTTTAAAATTGATGAACGCCTATCTTGGACACCCTAATCAACCACCTATATATTTTTTACTTAAATAGTTTCTAAATTAGGACACATCGAGAATTGTCTTTTGATTTATAGACAAATTTCAATCAAATAAATTGAAAAAGCATTAGATTTTTTAATTATTATTTTTGTTTTATTATCGTAAACTAATTAATGATTTTGGAGAAACTACAAAAAAACCCATATAATTGGCAAACAAATAAGCAATCATATTTTATCACAATATACAAAGTAAGAAATTCTTCTTTCGCACCACGTCTAATCAACTAAACAAAGAGCTCATGTATGAAAAACAAGTTCAACCTACAAACCAAAATAATAACACAATTTGTTTTATCAATTTAATCACCTTTTTTTTTCAATTATATTATATTTAAATGCAATAAATTTATTTTTATACAAATTAATAAAAGCATTGGTCGAATCTTTTCACCCACCTCTTCGCGGCGAGGATGTCGTAATTACTCTTCCCATATTTAAAAGTAGAAACCTCCTCATTACTTCCTCTCTGTGTTTTGTACTTCACATTTCACAATTTCCGATCACCCATCAACAAACTCAAAATCTCCATCAATATCTAATCTTTTTTTGTCTGGTGTTCATCTTTCCCAATCATAATCGTCGTCAAAAGTTTCTGTAATCATGGGTCGTAAGCATTTACACGAGTTACTCGAACAAGATCAAGAACCATTTCAGCTCAAAAGCTTCATTGCCGACCGCCGTTCTCAGCTCAAATCAACCACCACCGACGCCGGAAAAACAGCACTTCGCATCAGAAAACGAAACCCAATTATCGAATCCACGTCGTCTTCCACCACTGCACGCAATTTCTGCACCAACCATGTCTGTCTTTTCTCGTTTCAGGACTCGCCGGACTTTAGGAAATCACCATTTCTTGATTTTACGTCGAAGGAGATGAAGAGCCCGTGTAATAATGCTGCTGTCTTCCTCCATATCCCGGCCAGGACCGCCGCCATGCTACTTGATGCCGCCACGAGGGTCCAGAAACCTAAAACCGGTTCAAAACATATCGGGTTCGGTTTACTCGGGTCTTTTCTCCGGCGTTTGAAGGACCGGAGCACCCGCACAAAAAGCCGTGAAATTGGACCGGTTAACGCAACACCATCTTCACCACCAACAAGAAGAAGCCGGAAAAAGATTGTTAACGGAGACGTGGAGGTTGACGGCGGTGGTGATGAGAAACGGTTATCTAACTCGTGTAATAACAGCAGGCTTAGCAGCTGGACATCGTCGGAAAAGACGTCGGAGTTGGAGACTTCATGTAGTTCAAGATCAATTCACAACTCAGAAGAAATCGATTGTTTGTGCTCTAATCCTTCTAGCCCATTTCGTTTTTCACTTCAAAGAACTCCGTCCCCAACTCGCCGGAAACCGGATTCCTCATCACCGGTGGCATCTCCGAGCCGCCACTTCCAACAGGTTTTGTCTTTATTCTCTATTATTATTATTATCATCATTTCTTTATAATTATTAACCATACAAATTAGTTTATGCAAATCCGATTTAAGGTCAAAATATGCGATGGTTGTACTGAGTTAACTCGTAACTCGGTTGAGGATTATGGTCTATATTGGGTGAATTCTGACTCTCATGGCCGAATTGCATTTAAAATCTTAAATGACTAAAACATCCTTTGTGTGACATTAAGACAAAGAATTTAGTGTGGCTGTTTTATCATTTATATCCTTTACAAAATGTTTTGCAGCCTTATTATTATTTAAAACTTTGATAGTATATTGAAGTGGAAAGAACCTAACAAATGATAATAATGATACATTGTTTGTTTATTTTTATAGCAAATATATAATAATTAAATACGAAAAAAGACAAAATATAAATTTGTCTTTTAGTTTGTATTAAATTCGGTACCAAACAATCCAATAACCACACATGTACAATACAAGTATTGGTGGGTGGGTATCCATAGAACAAGCTAGAACAAAAGTCAAACGTCAATTCTTCAAGATCCACGATTGTAAAATTCCCAAATCATGATAAAATAATTTATAAGTTTAAAGAAGGGTTAAATGTAAAACGTCAAAGATAAATCAATGAACTTTACAGAAGGTTGCATTAAAGAAAATATAGATAAAGTGGTTGCAAATCATAAAGAAAGGTTTCATTTTTTAAGATAATATCGACAAGTAATCGACAAATGTTTTAAAATCATCAAGAAAGTGTATGAACTATACAAAAGGTTTCATTTAAGATAATATAGACAAAATGTATTAAAGAATGACAACTAGAAACCTAGAAACTTTATATCTTGAATTTATGCATGTAAATAATGTTATAACTTATAAGGAAGTGGAAGTAAACACACATATAGATGAATGATTTTGATCAAATGATATTCTATTATTAACATTTGGTGACAATATAGGAGAATAAAAGTTATGAAGTCGAGCACCCTCAAGAAATTCATGGGGAAACGGAAGACAATGAGAAAGAACAGTGTAGCCCGGTTTCTGTACTTGACACTTTATTCGATGATGATGAAGAAGAACATGACGGTGGTGTAACAGAAGAGGACTGTTACGATATTGAATGTGGCTATGCCAATGTACAAAGTAAGTTCAATAGAACTCTATTATCTAAGTTTATTTGAAAAAAGTTTATGACAATAAACTTCTCCATATTTTTTAAAGGCTTTTTTTAAGTCAACTAATTCATCTTCGTTTATTTAAAAACAATATAGAGCTTCCTCTATATGCCATTTTTAAAATCATCGTCATTTATTTATAAAGGAATGTCAAGTGAAAATAAGATTTAATTAAATTAATATATTATGATAAAAATAAGGTAAATTTAGAAATATAACCACTTTTTAATGTATATTTGAAGATAATAATCAATTTTTTTAAATAAAAATAATCATTTTGTTCGGAATGGGCATTTCAAGCCAAGAAAAAACACTTCACCTATTCCAGAACGGCATTCCGGATTCATGACTAAAATTTCAATTTTTTTGGAAAAAAAAATGAAAAAAACTTCAGAATTTTAAAAACAAGTCCGGAATCTAAAACACATATATGGAATTTCAATATATATATATATATATATATATATATATATATATATATATATATTGCTTAATTTAACAAAAAAATTAATCAAAAATAGTTATATGAACTATATACAATATTAATGCATAAAATTGACTTTTTATTGAAAAACAGTTACATGAAGTATTATAAAATGTAGCATTCAGAATTCAAAAAAAAAAAAAAAAAAAACAAAAGATTTTCTATGAAAATTATAAAAAAAAAACTCCGGAATATGAATAGTACTCCGGAATGAGGACATTATGGAGAAAATTGTTGTATTTCAAAAACGGAAAAATATGATTTTTTTTTAAAAACATCCTTTATAATGGTTACATTACTCAATTTTCCTAAAAATTAAATATTATAAAATTGAAGTATATAATTATAGAATTAATAAATAATAAATATTACAAAATTAATACTTAATATTAAAGATTAAAGTAAAAATACCTACAAATTCCGTTGTTTGCATCTTTTTAATTCTAATTGGTTTTAATGTCGATTTTAACTCTAATAATATGTGCATCATTAGATCGTTCGTCGTCTTGGTTTGAGAATTGTGGCTTGCACATTGTGTATTAAAATTTGTACTAGAAAAATAATACATCTATCAAAGTTAATTGACCTTTTTAACCTCTTATGGTTGATGGATTTGTGTCGGTCAGTTTGTTTATGTAGAAGAAAATAAAATAATTAAAATCGTAATCAAGTCCAATTAATTGTTTGTACTTAGGGAAAATGCAAATTATTCGTGGGACCCACGAAATTTATATCAAGCAGTGGGTACCGATGGGTTGTATTAAAAAGTAAAAAGGAATATTTTATGTACTTTGTCATTTATCAAGCAGCTTTTGTTAAAACGTTGCTTTCTTTGTAGCTTTACTGAAACTTTTTATTGCGTTAAATTTATAGGAGCAAAACAACAACTCTTACAAAAGCTTCAACGCTTCGAGAGGCTTGCAGGGTTGGATCCAATTGAACTTGAAAAACACATGTTAGAACAACATTATGAAGATGATGATGATGATGATGGTGGTGAAAATTATATATATGATCAAGAAGTAACTCATGAAGAGTTTGTTAAGGAGATATCTAATCATTTAGGGATCGGGAAAATCCCATGGTACATGAAAAAGCTCGTATTTGACCTAATTTCAGAAGAGAACAAAAATGAAGAACATGAAGTAGTCATAGAAAGAGTATGCAAGAGGTTGCATTCATGGAAGGTGGTCGAATTAAACACAATAGATATGATGGTTGAGACAGACTTTGGAAGTGAAGGGTGGAAGAAATACAATGAAGATAAGTCTAGAGATATAGGGATGGATATAGAGCAGGCCATTTTCGGGTTCTTAGTTGAAGAATTGGCTCAAGAACTTGTAGAATCTATTGTACAATGCTGACATTCGTAAAATAATTTAGAAGTCAATAATGTTTTTCTTGTTCAACTCATATAATTTATTTATAGGTTGAGAATAATTCTAATGAGATATTCTTTAACCTATAAATGAAATGTATGTCCCAAATGAAACAATAGAAATTAATGATTATTGATATTTTTGTCCAGGCATGTATTACATGGTAGGAAATGGGCAATGCGTGGTTACTTCATTGAAAAAGTATGATATGCAACTTCAACAATGTTATTGGCATGTACCAAGACAATATGTATCATGTTTATGGGAGGCAAGCAATTATCATGTTTATGGGAGGCAAGCAAATGTATTCTTCTGCATTTGGTAACAACCTATTAAGGTTAAGAATTATACAAATGGTTGATCATATCTGATATGAGATATGTGTGGTTCCAAAATATATACATATATAGAGGCGGACTAGACTCTGTTTAGTTGATGTTTGACTAAGCACAACTCTTAAGCAGTCTCAATGAAATAGTAACATGTGTCGAACCCTCACTCTAATAACCTTAAGATAAAGAGATAAGGAGAGATTAAGAAAATACAAGTATTCTAATTATAATCCTAGAAATACTAAAACAACTACAAAGCATGTTGCAAGGGGATCACCACACAAAGAACTTCTAGTGATTGCATAAAAGGTAATGAATTTTTATATTTTCTTAGCTAGTGCGAAAGCACGCAGTCTCAATGCGAAATAGTAACATGTGTCGAACCCTCACTCTAATAACCTTAAGATAAAGAGATAAGGAGAGATTAAGAAAACACAAGTATTCTAATTATAATCCTACAAATACTAAAACAACTACAAAGCATGTTGCAAGGGGATCACCACACAAAGAACTTCTAGTGATTGCATAAAAGGTAATGAATTTTTGTATTTTCTTAGCTAGTGTGAAAGCACGCGCGCTCGCACACACACACACAGAGACACACGCGCGCGCGCTCGCACACACACACACACACACACATATATATATATATATATATATATATATATATATATATATATATATATATATATATATATATATATATATATATATATATATATATATATATATAGAGGGTTTTGTTAATCAAACAAACAACATTTACATCAATATAGGGTTTTGTTAATCAAACAACCCGGTTAACTTTGAAGTAACAGAATCTAGAGGAAAACCTATAATACAAATCCGAAACAATACTATCAAAAAGTTGTCCCTTATTGAGCTTCTTCGATCCAAAAACTATGGATTTTTGGTAATTGCATATCTACTAGGACCACAACATGGTAAAGATAATTAATTCCAACGTTATTTTGATAGTACGAGTTTAAAAAAATTATTAAAAAAAATCATAATCCCAAAGTTATTTAAAAAAAGTTTTATCTAAATTTTTTGTATTTTAAAAAATTTACCAGTTTTTTTTTCTGAACAATTTTACACAAATGAAAACGGTAATTTGCAACTTTTTTTAACCGGCAAATCTAATATACATTTAATTTAACACATCTAATTCTACCTATGTCTACAAGATAACTTGACCTCTCAACTTTAAAGAAAGAAGACAACATCTGATACCACTTAGATAGAAACCATTTGGTTATAACTATTATCTAACACCAAGTTTTGTCCTATATACCCTTAACCTATTATAATTGTACACATATATTGCTTTTGACAATATATTGTTCATTACGTTTCTTGTTTGAAATCGACCATTCATATTGACATTAATTTACTATCTAACAAAAATTAGAATATAAATATTTTCATCTAAAAGTTCTTTATATATAGAAAAGATATCTCCACCTAAAATTTGGTGCAACATGGGTCCCCTAAAAAGGCAAAATGTTGTTTAAAATTGGAATGAGGTTGGTATCATCCAATGGCCGAAAAGGGGAGACAAAATGTTGTGGAGATTGAGTTGAATCAATTATTGACATGTCGTATTTAATATTTAATATCAAATTAACTATTGTAACCGAAACCCTGTATAAAGAATTTTGTAAATAGGTACTTTAAAATTTCTCTTTAAAAACAAATAAAATTAGTTGAAATATATATAAAAATAAAAATTATGTTATGCACAAATAAAAGTTTCTTTCGGGTTTCGGGCTGTTTTTAGGCCCAAATAGGATACCCCGTTTCTTTCTGCAATGTGCACCTCTATTCACGAGAGAAGATTCTTAAAGTTTTTCTCTATTTTATTTTGATTTTGCAAAATTTGGGTATTTGACGACATGTCTTGTCAGATGTGTTTAGCGTAAGAATCTTTCTGTTTGGAGATTGATGAAACCCCACTTCACCTAAAACAAGTAATTAATTAGATTCTTGCTCACAAAGATTCCATCGTTATTCTTTTAAAGTATTTGTCATCTTTAACTACATACAATTTATGTAAATTATTATTTTCCTTGACTGATAACCCAACCAACATTGAGCTTTTTGGTCTAACGAGCATAGATTCAAGAGATTAATAACACCTGGTAAATTTTGTCGTGAGTGATAATGGATAGAACCAATTTCTAGTAATTTGGTTGGCTTTCATATGATGTTTGTCTCATGTGACGGGTCTACTAAAAATATCAATCATTAGCCGATGGCTGCTTTAGGGATGTCGCGTCTATAACGAGGGCATGCAAACACCTTTTGCGAAAAGCCCATAACCACATAAAAATGACAATAGATTATCAAGTGATGTAGAATACTACACAGACATAAACATATGAAAATATAAAAAATAAGATTTCGATAGGAAAAAGAATTAAAATCGGTCACCATCATCCATTTCAATGTATGTTACGATGCTGAAATTATGCTTCTAAAAGTTGTAATAGTAGAGAGGAGTCTACAAAATGATTCTTTTTAGGTCTCTCTCATAAGTTTAAGTGTATATTAGTTGTACGAAAAGTCTCTAGTTTATTTTTCTACCCTTGTATATATTTATTTATTATGCCGTATTTGTAAATGTTATTTGTATATATGGTTATCCTCGCTACTACATTTGGTATCGAACATTATTCTCTCATGGTATCATTCGTCTGACACGATCCTCCCCCTTTCCGATTGTTTCTTCTTCTTCTTCTCTCTCACCCTCTTGCCTTCTCTTTCTTTCTCTCGTCTGCAGCCTCATGGCCTCATCATCCAACACTTCTGACTCCGTTCTATCTATGAATACTGCTATGCATCTAATCAACATACGTCTCTCCTCCTCCAACTATCTACCGTGGAAGAACCAACTCTTCCCACTTCTGTCATACCAAAATTTGTTGGGTCACACAGTGACGAATCTAAAACCGAAAATCATGTGGTTCATTGTGTAAGTTAAACCGAAAAAAATAAGAGAGCAAAGAATAATAGTGGCGGGCTGGCGCCTGGCGGAGGGGCGACGGTGGGCCGGTGGCAATGCTGGGAACTGGTGGCCGGTGGGAGCAATCAACAGGGCAACACTGGATGATGCTTTAGAGATTTCGATCACGCCTTAGGCCAAGCGACATTTCAAATTTCAAGCCTTTTTGCTATTGTTTTTTTTTGTTTAATTTTAAATAGATCGGGCTATTACCTAATGATTAAAGTTTAAGTGGATTGAGATATTGAACTATTTTAAGTGGATTGAAATATAAACTATGAGCTTTATATATATATATATCTATATATATATATATATATATATATATATATATATATATATATATATATATATATATTGATCATTTTTTCTTTTTGGCAAAGTTTCTAAGGTAGGTCCTTTCAAAACTATAAGGTAGGTCCCCATTTTTTTCATTTATACCTTATACTATCTTTAAAAAAATAGGCGTGTCCTAGGACCCACCTTCATTCTACTTAGCTACTCCCCTGGGGTCACACCGATGGCACTTCTCTCCTCATTCGACTCTTGCGGCTTGGCAGGCCCACGATCAACGTGCTGTGATTCTTCTCCAAGCCTTTCTCACGGAGGAAGCTTTTTCTGAAATTGTTGGCATTGGTACAGCGCGCCAGATCTGGGTTGCCTTAGAAGCCGCCTACAACAACTCCTCAATGGAACATATTCAAAACGTACGTGTTCAGCTTCGCGTTTTGTATAAAGGTTTGAACCTCGTCTCTGATTTCGATCAAAAGTTCAAAGCAATCTGTGATCAGTTAACTGCCATTGGGCAACCAATTGATGAACCTGGCAAAATTCACTGGTTTTGTAACGTCCCAAAATTTATGACTAAAAATTTCGATTTTAATATTAATAAAACCATTATCCAAAACATTATCATAAAACCAAAGTGAAATCAGAGTACGTCAAAATCATCCAAGTACATCAGATTTAAACAAATTGCTAAACAATATGGTGTGTGCAACGCGATCATCCCGAACTCTTCCCTTTCGATCCGGGAGTACCTGAAACATACACTGAGGCCCCAAAATCCAAATAATCACCAGATCCATCCTTATGCATGAACAACCATAACCAAAAGATCGACAGATACGGAACCACTGCCACGAATTATGGTATCAAACCATGCTATCTTCCCCGACCAGCCCTTAGAATCCCCGAAATTTTCCTCGATTCAAGTATGGATCCTGTGCTTTAAATAGTACGGGCCCAATACTACCTTCCGCACCTATCCATACTTTCCTCAAGAATCATCTCGGGTCCTCTAAGACACCTACTCATAATAATACTCCCAATACCTGCTTAACAGCGAAAATTCACACTAAATTACTTCCTATGCTCTCCCACGATTCCCCAGCTGTAAGTCCCGAATTCTCCTACGAATCAATCGGATTCACTTTGATGGTGCGGAATCCCAATCAAAGTGTATAATGCAAGAAATAAGATGAAATAAGAACACAAGTAGTTAATCTTCAATGCACACTATTAGATTGAATAGTCGGGTACATAAGATGTTGATTACACACTGTTCTCTCTTGGTTTCTCTCCAAAACGTGCTCTAAGCAATATATCAGCCCCTAGAACGTCCCACACTCTAATCTTACCCATTTTCAAGCCTAAACAACTCTATATATACCTAGGCCTAATAACCAAGCCCAAGCCCAAAACCTAAACAAAACAATACAAAGCCTAACCAAAATCACACACGATTTCGGTCCAATTACAAGGAACTCAAGGGGATTTCGGCCCTAGACTGAAAACTCTAAAGGCTTATGAAAAGCAAAGTATAAACCAA